GGGGGGCAGGTGTTGGGTGGGGGCTGGTGCTGTGTGGGGGGCAGGTGTTGGGTGGGGGCAGGTGTTGGGTGGGGGACAGGTGTTGGGTTGGGGACAGGTGTTGGGTGGGAGGCAGGTTGTTGGGTGGGAGGCAGTTTTTGGGTGTGGGGGTGGTCCAAAATGTCAGGGAGACGATGAAATTAACAGAGCCCAAATGAGAGTAATAAGGTTGTGTAACCAGTCGCTGAAAACAATAGTGTCCCACATGGCATTGTGAATGAAATTGTCCTATAAGCATTTGTTGAGAATAAAGGGGTCCAAGATTGCAAATAGAAGGGTCCCAAGAGGCAATGTAAGTGAAATGATCGTGTAAACATTCTTTGTGGTGTTAAGAGAGGCCCTGAATCGTAACGAGAACACTATAGCGGCTCAGGAAGTAGACTAGATTGAAAGGACTTATGTAGCTTAAAAATTCATATATCCAGTTTCTTATCTAGGGTTAATGCAACCCGGGGCAGGCCTATAATCCCCCCCCCCCGCCCACTGTGGAAAGTCTGCAGTTGGCCAAAAGTTCCGCTTTTCTATATAAAGTAAACATTGTTCTGCTCCCTTCTTACGCAAATCAATATCGAAAAGTTTTTCTAAGTTATCAAAAGAATTTGAACATATTTAATTGTCTTTGTAAAGGAGATCCGACCAATACTTTTCAAATCTTTAACAAATATCCACAAAAAATAAAAGTAGTTGTAAAGATAAGTCGGAGATATTTGCTAAATGTTTCTGAGAAATAATTGCATTGCATGTTTGAAGGTATTTACACAGCGAGACGAAATGTACGTGGTTCAATAAGTGAAATAATTGCGCGTTTATTTGAGAGATTTAACCTAATGAGAGTTCCTAATGTTATGTTAATTCAAGAAGACTCTTATTCAATTTCGGAAAATTTCCTGAAAATTAAATAAATATTAATGGCTTAAAATTTTATCGACAAGTTTAACCCATTTTAGGAGCCGTCCTATCTCAAAGCACTCATGACGCCTAATGCACCCACTAGATAACTCTGCTCATCCGATAGTGGCAAACTCTTAATACCGGGGTTCACCTTGAGACTTTTGGAAGGCGCACTTCTGCATTTGCAGGCCCAAAAGTTTGGAACACCCTTCCTGTCGCTCTCAGAAACAGCCATGCACTGGAGTCCTTCAAACCCGATTTTAAAACAATTATTTCGCAAACACCTGCTGGGGTGATGTTGTCTACCATCTTTTCCAGCTAGCTATTATCTCCTAGATGTACATTGGCTTGTGTTGTTTGTGGCTGCAAGGGAAGAAAGACTTAGAATGGGTTTGCGAGTAATGTTGCGTTTTGTATTTCAATGTGGTAAAATATAGATTGTTTCATTTCTCTTTTATGTAGACTATGTACCGCGCTTCGAGCCTTTGGGGATGAAGCGTGATTCTCAAATAAACTTTAATTATTATTATTATTTTTAAAAAATATAAAATGTTTCAGTTGTCTGTTTTTTGATTACTCGCCATTCACTTCACTTCATACCAGTTACGCGTACATTTTAATGTTAACCTCATTCCCTAATACTGATTTATGAAACAGTTACAAAGGTCGGGAAAACTTTTCATCGATCTGTTTCTTTTTATCACGATAAGAAGGTCGCATGGGTGGTCATGTTGTGTTGAACAGACATACCGACAATACGCGCTACGGCATGTTATGACGTCGGGGACAATTTCTAATTTTGTAAACAAGTCGTCAGTCACATGCAGAACATATCGTGAACAATCACGTACAAGACATATCGTGAACAATCACATACAAGACATATCGTGAACAATCACATACAAGACATATCGTGAACAATCACATACAAGACATATCGTGAACAATCACATACAAGACATATCGTGAACAATCACAAACAAGACATATTGTGAACAATCACACACAAGACATATTGTGAACAATCACAAACAAGACATATTGTGAACAATCACACACAAGACATATTGTGAACAATCACAAACAAGACATATTGTGAACAATCACACACAAGACATATTGTGAACAATCACACACAAGACATATTGTGAACAATCACACACAAGACATATCGTGAACAATCACAAACAAGACATATTGTGAACAATCACACACAAGACATATTGTGAACAAGCACATACAAGACATATCGTGAACAATCACAAACAAGACATATTGTGAACAATCACACACAAGACATATTGTGAACAAGCACATACAAGACATATTGTGAACAATCACAAACAAGACATATCGTGAACAAGCACATACAAGACATATCGTGAACAATCACAAACAAGACATATTGTGAACAATCACACACAAGACATATTGTGAACAATCACAAACAAGACATATTGTGAACAATCACAAACAAGACATATTGTGAACAATCACAAACAAGACATATCGTGAACAATCACAAACAAGACATATCGTTAACTGTGTACCGGTACAAGATCTACGATACTGTAAGTTGAAGATTGTAATTATATTTTCTTTTCTTTTGTAATTATCTTAAGGCTTAATAAATCTTAATTAACTGTAACTAGAAGCTGTTTTGGGTCGTATCTTTAAAGTTGTTGACTCAATGGTATCGTCCTTTAATAGGCACTGTTTACAACGAGCCAATTAAAATTAAAATAGGAGATTAATTTCTCCCAATACAAGTCAGTGCGTAACAGGGGGGTACGTTTTAGTCTTGGAAGATGTCAGTAGTAACCTTTCTGTGGTAAAATTATATTTGCCATTTTCGATTGCTATCGGGGCCGACTGACCAGGAAGAAGGAACCGCTGTATTGGAAACCCCATGTCCCTTTCACTTCGCGTTCCAAAGCTATCCGCAGGGGTACTCAAGTGTCAGTGGAGGTCACCACAGATCATGATGGCTTGTATCGCCATCGACGTTGGGTGAGTCTACAAAGTTTCAGCTCATTTAAAGATCAGGAAGTGGACACAATTTAGATTTGACCACATGCAAACAGACAGAGCAAACTAAGGAAAAGCGTATGATTGTCTATGTCATAATTTCAGTCACTAACACTCAGGTTCAAGAGCATGCCAAGTAAAAGTTCATGGTAACTACGCTCCATGAGGTTCTTAAAGGGAGATGGAGAGTTATGCCTGACGGCGTGAAGTCCACGGGGAAGGGGGAGGGGGTAGGGGGGTTGTTA